CTCGTCCTTCCCTAGGAACACGCGCATCTGTGTACTTCTTGAAAAGCATTCGATCCGGCCTCTGATCTTGGGAGTGCCGAACATCTCCTTCATCCACAGAAATCAGCAGGAGCCGAGGGTTAAAGAGCTGGGAATCGCAGGCTAATTTATGGAGCCAGATATTTTCAAGTGCATTGTGAAGCCACATGTTTCGCTCGGCGCTGGAGTGTTTGGTACGTTTCTCCTCGCCTCTTCCCCTGGCCGATTCCACTCGGGCTTTGTTGTTGCACGTATTGGTACCTCTGGGGCTGCCGGCTCACTGCCGGCTTCAGCTCTCTCTCGTCCCCGAGTGACTGGCAAATTGTGCAGCACGGATCTAGCAGTCCCGCCTGCTGGTGTAGGGCAGGCTCTGAACGCCATCGGGTACCTACCAACGTGGCCTGTGATCAGTATTTTCCTTGATTCTCACGGCATGCTTTTCTTTTAATGGCTCGGAGGCTCTGGCTGTACGTGGCCGAGAAGTTTGTTGTCTCAGTTCAATGGCTTCGCTCCTCGCCTGTGAGGCGAGAGCGGCTGGTTAACCCTGGCGTGCTGCAGGAGGCATGCCAGGAGGGAGATGAAAGAATCCGGGACTGCTCTTACAAGAGAGCAGACTTACCCCGAGCCCGAGCGCTGGCGTGTAAGCCGGCTGTCTTAACCCAAGCTATCAGCTGGCTACTGCACAGCGAGACCCACTGTCAGTGACAATGACTTCAGTGTGTGCCGCCAGTGCCTTCTGATCGCCGCGCGCTGCCATACATGAAAAGAGCATCTGAAAGGTGCTCCCTGAAGAGCCATTATGTGTTATGTGGGCTCTAACCTTCCATTAACAGCTCACCTTAGCCCCTAACCCTGGCCTTGGGACGCAGCCGAGTCATTTCATTTACCAGGTGTGAAAATCATATTTTGCCATGTGAGGATGATTGCTCTATCAGGTGTATTACAGTCCCTCTTTTTCTTTTTTTTTTTATTTGCCTTTTTTTAAGGCTTTTTTAAAACTACAAGATAGCATTAAAGATTTATATGTGGCAAATGCATCCCTTTTTTTTTTTTTTTTTTCCCCACAGTGTTTCCTTTTAGAGACCTTCACAGTATTGATTTCAAGTAGATTTTCCTCCTCTGTTTTAAAACATTTCCTTTGCCGATGCGTTTTTAACATTACCCACTGGATCTGTGTGCAGTGCTTTCCCCAGACTATACTATTGAGCCGAGGCTCCTCGCTGCCAGCCTCGAGGGACCACTTCTGAGGCTGAAGGACCATTTGCTGTGCTCCTCTCCTCAGTCCTGAGCTACCAAGCAGCACTGCAGCCTTCTCAATCCAGGAGGTGCTCCAAGCTGTGGGCTGCTTTTGGGGTGTGCCGATGGATCCCCAAACGGGTCCGGCAGTTGCCTCGAGCTCAGAGTGAGGTGCATGTCGGGGCGTTTCAGATAGACAGGGAGAACAAGCCGTGCGCCGGGATAGTGAGGAAACCGGAGTGGCAAGCAGCTGGAGCTGTAAGGTCATTAGGCTCTGGTGCCTGCATTTTATTGCTGCAGCTCGTCCTTATGGCCCTCAGAGCGGGGTGCGGGGCTGGAGAGGGCAGGGGGCTCTGCAGGAAGGAGATCTGTTGTAGGCAGCCTGCGATGCGGGTTCAGCCATCTTCTGGTGGATTGGCCGTCTTACCACAATACTATTTGGCTTTGTTACTGTGGTGCTAGAGCCTTAGGGCCCCAGAAAGAGCAGCCTTATTGCAGTCATCGGAGTTATGCTTGCTTATGGCAGTAGGCAACTGGGAATGGTTGTTTTTTTTTGGACATGTTGCCACGAACATAAATGCTTTTCTTTGGGAGATGCTTTGCTAGGGTGGCTCAGGCGAGTGGCTGGGAAGCATTGTCCTGATGGAAACAAGATGCAGAAATGATCGGGTCTCAGAACACCTCTTACTTCTTCCCACATCTGTGACGTGCAGAGCCCACCTTCCAAAGGCTCTGTCCTTTTCTCCTTCCTCATCACCAGCAACTCTTAGTTTTGAGCTTTGAATACAACACCGAGAGCTCGGCTGCCATGGGGGGAAATAGTGACCTGGGCAAGGAAGCCAGCTGACTTGCATGGGACCTGGGCAGGCTGTGTTTGTGCTCACTGCACACAGCAGCAGCAGGAGCAGTCTTTGTTGTCTCTTTCTTAAGCTGAAGGTACCCGTGCTTCAGCATTTAAATGTTCACAAGAGACTCATGCTGGATGCTCAGGAACAGCAATTGCCAAAAATGCAAGGGGTTCGTTATGACAGCATAGCCAGAGTATCACGATACCGCCTTCATTGCCTGTTGCTGGACTTCTGGCGTTCATTTTGCTGTTGCCTGACAGAAAGGACAGGCAGGAGGTATGGGCTGTGTGTAGGTACAGCCCGTGCTGCAAGCACGCCGAGGCACAGTGGGTCCCATAAGAGCTGCGTTACCTAGGCAGGTCCCCGTGCAGCACCAGCTCACATGCTAAATGGACGCTCAGAGACGTCAGGATATAGATGGAAAAGAAACACGCTGTGCTAGGTGTCTCTCAGGATCTGCAAGGCAGGTATCATAAGCAGATGCATTCTTACCAGCGAATAAACAGATAAAATTTAAAATAAGCTGGCAGATTTTGTGCTCAGATGGACTAGGAACATTCACACAGTCTGTTCTTGCAGTTCAGCTGTGAGAGGCCAACACCTTCCGCAGAGAGGGACTAGCAAAATGCTTGGACAGAAGTATGTCCAGCCATGACATCTGCTGCTAAAGTTTGCACCATAAAAGTGCACAAGTAGAAATGCAGAGCGAGAATGAGGCGTGTATGTAGCCGAGCCAAAACTCGTGAGTGCCCTCTCGTAAAGAAGGCACCTGTGTGTGTCAGTGCAGTCCTCTGCCATCGAGGGTCTTGCAGGTCCGAAAAGCCTCCGGTGATTGCTGCAGAGGAAAGCCAGCACCACGCTCTGATAATAAACCCATGTCTAAAGAGCAAGGGGGAAATCTGATTGTTTTCTTTGGAGGGATCTCACTGTTTTATGTAATCTTTGTACAGCACCTGTAAATCAGTGACTAGCGCTTTTGAAATGTATTTCCTTCATCACAAGCTGTTTGAAACAACAGGTAGCACCTATCCATTCAGTCGGAGCTCCCTTGACATTTTTAAGTGACAGATAATGAAAACTGTCTTCATTATAACTCGAGCTATTTCATCAGACTGTCACCAGCAAACAATGGCAAATTAGAGACTGAACAACCCTCAGCTCCGCTCTCCCAGGTACCTGTGCAAATTTACGCGTCTCCGGGGTGCTAGGATGGGATGCAAAAGGGTGGTCAAACGCCCGGGGAGGTGATTCCTGAAACTCGAGGCAGAATAGCCAGTGACTTTGCTGCTGCTTCTGAGAAATGTAAGAGGTGATTTCTCAGGTGGGAAGGCTCCTGGTACGCAAGGCACTAGAGGTCGTCAGGAACGTGTTAAAATCGCTCTGGAAAGCAGCGGTCAGCAGGCGTAAAAATGGAGCACAAACGTGACAAGGACCGTGGGTGAGAGACACGGCTTATCTCGCAGCGCTGAATTCGGCTCTGCCTTCAGTTTATGAATGGGTTTAAAGCATGGTGCCAAGTAGAGCATATTGCAGTTGTCTAATCCTTAGGTGACAGAGGCAGGCACGATAGTAGACAGAGCTGCATCCAAGAGGACTCGTCGGGACAGCCCAGGCAGCCTGGCAGTATCGCTACCTGGTCTGCGGGAACCAGTCCCGGCCCCAGAATCTAAAGTGCCGAAGGGAAACCTGCTCGAGGAGCAGCTGCTCCTGCGCGGCGCCGCTTATCTCACCTGGCGATGCTTCGGGCATGCTTGGGCTGAAGCTGGCTCGCTCAGGGCCTTCTCACCTCGCTCCCCCCTTTACCAAGCTGCCCCCATGGTTGGCCCAGAGGGGGGCAGGGAGCAGAAGAAGATTTTCACTGTTAAACAAGGTTTGTGTGAGAGGCCCGTGGCGTGGAAGAAGCTAGCACCAGGGGGTGAATTATAGGGGCCCAGGGAAGAAAGAGGCTGCGGCAGAGAGAGGGTTGTTATTGGAGCACGCAGGGAGCAAAATGACTGAGATAGAGGGTGTAGATAAACAGTTAGAAATAGCCGCGACAGTGTGATTTGGAAGGAAAATCAGGCACTACCTCAGGCCCCGGTGGCGTTCAGTTTAGGGAGCTGAGTGGTAAATTACAGGTAGGTTAGGACGCCGACAACATCGATGACCCCGCGAAGTGCTGGGGAGAGAAAAGTTGCAGTAACGGGGAGTAAGATTCAGATCTCATCTACCCGACTGTGAGTATCTCAAGGTGAAATAACAGAAGGAGAGGAGGCGGGAATATTGATTTCTGCCTCACAAAACAGACAACAACGCCTACTTTTTCAGAGCAAGAATTTAACCGTTCGCTCTAATGGGCCAGTCTGCAGTACAGTGGGGGCTTGGTTTCTTCTTCATGTGCAATCGAGAGGGGAAATCATGCTGAAGTTATTTTTATCTTCGTGTAGCCTTGCAGGAGAGTCGTGAGCCGAATGTTACCCCCAAACATCTGTGCTGCCGCCCCGTGGTACAGCAGGCGGGCACCCCGAGTGGCCCCAGATGCACGGGGAGGCACGAGGAGCCTCTCGTGCCAAAAGGGCCGGCGTTGTGCCTGCTGGTCACAGGTGGCTTCTGTCTGCCTGAGGGCAGGCTCAGCCTTCTTCCATTCCTCCCGTGAGAAGGATGCTTCTGAGAGGTGCTTTCTTCAGCTGTTCGTGGCTTTCTCAGAAATACTCCTCTGGGGATAATGGTTTGTTTGGTGGGGTTTACACCACGGAAGCGCAGTGTGTGTCCCCGTGCAGCAGAGCTGTGGCTGAGCAAGGGTGTGCTCTCTTGGACTAGGCTCACCAGGGGGCTGAATGGGAGCAGGAGGTGATTTGGGCAATTTCCTGGGCTGCTGCCGTGCCTTTTCTCATTGCAGTCAAAGACAGTTGTGCACATACAAAGGGAGTGTAATGTTTCTGCTGAGAGTCTTGAAATGCTCAAGGGTCAGGCAGGTCCACAGCCAAATTCTCCTGGCTGGGCCACAACAACTTGGTGTGTGTTAGCAGCTCCCTGTAAAACACTGGAACAGTGTAATAGGACCGGTGTTCCTGTGCAAACATTGGTTTTGGGATCTCCTGTAAGCCAAAATTTGCCACCTCTGTTTTGTATGATTTCGTATTTTTCATGTGTTGCATGAGCATATGTTTCCCCAGATTCTGTTTACCTGATTCCCCTTCTGATTCAATCTCCTCTTTCCTTTTTTTTTATTTTTTTTTAATCACAGGAGATAAAACTGAGCATTTATCCGTAGTGCTGCCTAGCGTTTGCCTCACACCTGCTTATTGACTTTGGACATGACTCTAAACAGGGCGAGAGCTTCCTGCAATTGGGCTGTTATAATGCGTGGGATTTGTGCACCACATTACGGTTCTGATGAGGGATAATGTCTCGAAGGGGGGCAGATCCTCCAGCAGTCTGTCTGGAGATCCCGAGGTTCTTCTGGCACATATTTTAACCACAGGCCCAGTTCCACGCTCCAGCGCAAACCTGATTAAGGCTCAGGTCATTTGGAGATTGATGAGTGAATAGGAAAACCTGAGCTTAAACGTTTCTCCCTTCGCAGTGTAGCTAGGACAAGCGCCCTGATTGCCACGCTGCATGTGCCTGTTGCTGGAGGGCGATGCTGTGCAGCCAGCCTCCCTCCTAGCAGCGCTCTGTGCCCTCGGTGGCCATCAAGGCCACCATGAGCCACGATGGGGAGCTACAGGTGTGGCCTTAAGCCAGCACTGGGGTGTGCGTGTGTGTGCATATATACATGGAGATCATTATGGGTATGTACGCCTTTCCCTTCTGTCAGAGCTTGTGCAGTCCCACGCAGGAGCAGAGGGATCGCTCGCCCCAACCCAGCGAAGCTGCTGCTTTGGCGTTTGCAAGTCTGAGGTTCAGCAAAACTGGCTAGGCTCGGGGCTAGCCAGACTAGGCTCTAGTCTGATGGCAAAAGAAACGGAACTAGAAACAAAGCCGCAACAATCTCTCCCCCTCCTCCTAATCCTGATTTCCTCATCTTTTAGGAATGATTTATAATAGATAAATGCTTTCAGAAAGGAGAGGCTTTTCCAAGTTAACAGCGGATGTTAAGCTGCCCTTCCCTGTGGTCTGTTGCCGTCTCTTTCATGCCGTCCAGCATCAGGCTTTGTCCTGCAGCGGGATTCATGAAGGCAGCTCCCCTGAGCCCATGCAGAGAGATCGTGGCAGTAGGAGAACTGCCATCACCTGGGCTCCTCGCAGAGCGGGTTGTTTCCTTTCGAGAAGGCTCATTAGAGCACGCAGCCATGTAAAACTCAAAGCTCGTAAGAAAAAGATTTCGCAGAGCCTGATCTTTCTGTGGTCCTGCGGCTCCTCTGATCATTTACACCAGAGCAAAAGGAGGAAAAAAAAAAAAAAACCAAACCTAAAGCAAACAAACAAAGCAACACATCCTCCTAATGATGTGTGTTCTTCACTTCCAGCAGTGTGAGCGTTTTACACCCACTTTGCACAGGTGTATGTGAACACAGAAGTCGAGGGCAGAATAGAGAGCAAAGCTCTGAAGGAGTTGGTGGAGCTTCCCTGCTGGAAGGTTATGATCACGCTGAAAGAGGGAAATCTTGCCTCAGCAGACAGGAAATATGTGATGCAATTTCAACCCAGAGTTGCTGGAGATAAAATAGCCCATAAACTGAAAAAAATGTAGGGAATACTTCGCTTGGCCCAAATGTGCCGTGTCAAAGCTAATAGCGAGGGATCCTCTGACTGCAGAAGCAGCGGCGTGCTGGCTACGGATGCACATGGAAACCGCGTCCCTTATTTGTAAGGAGGAGTGAGTGTACGTTCCTGATCCTGGAAGCAATAACTGTCGGCAGATCCTTCGTAATGGTGGCAGACTTTCTTGAGAGAATGTTTTTAAGCACCAGTGACTGAAAAGGTGCGATCTGCTGTTTCACTGGAGGTGAAACTTCTGTCACGTGGAACAACTGTGCAGTTAGAGAACAGGCTCGGCTGCAGAGCGCGGGTGGTCAGGGGCAGGGTCTAACTTCAGAAGAGTCATGCCTGCAGCCTTCGCACGCTAGGGCTCCGTGTCGCCATTTTGCCTGTCTTCAGTCCCGTCTTCAAAAGTTCCTCTTCCTCAGATGTTTCCACCTCCTCCAGTTGCGCCTGTTCAGCCACTTGCGGGGATGAGATCTGCATCAGAGCTGGTCTGTGTTCAGGGGTTGTTCTCGTTAGTGTGCATGGCTTTTAAAGGAAAGATGGGTCATTTAAACAGCTCACCTGTGGCTGTGGCTCCATAAATAGTTTATCCGGCACAAGCGAGCGGCGGTAACTGTGAGAGGGAGCAGCAGGATCCTCCAAGTCTGCCGCAGATGGAGTGGTGAAATGGAGCCACAGCCCTACACTCATAATGTTATTTGCATGAGTAGCTCCATTGTGTTTCAGTGGGACTCTACTTACACATGTAAAAATCGGTGTTTGCAGGGCCGGGCCCTTACAGAGCATAAAAGCAGCGACTGGGGTGTGCCATGCTCTGAACTCTCTACAGCAAGTGTAATGCAAATGCGTTTTGCTGGCTGGCCTATCTCGTCTGATGGGTTCTGCACAAGTGGAGCTCCTGTAGCCGCTTTCCTTAGGCTCGCTTCACCCTGGTGGAAGAGGACCCCGCTTCCGAGTCACAAGTTCCCAAGGGAGGGCAAGGCCCCGCGGTGGGGATGCTCTCCCAGTGGGCCGGGGCTCCACGTACCTGCCTCACCGCCTGTCACCGCGGCCGGGGTCACTCGGGAGCCTCGTGTTGGCGGTTCCCATGGTGAGGCCCCGGGAGGGCAGCGCCTGGGCTCTCGGGGCCGTGCCCAATCCCCCCGGGCTCCTGCGGGGGCAGCACCGCACCTCGCCGCGCCCCCCGCAGCCCCGAGGGGAGGGAGGGAGGGAGGAAGAGCCGTGAAGCCGCGGTTATTTGAGCCCGCTGCCTGCCGAGTTGCACAGTCATTTATAACTGCTGCGAGCGCAGGGGGATGGGATGGGGCTGGGGCGGGGGGAGGGGAGCGGCGGCAACCGCAGCGCGGGGGAGCCGGGGGCCGCGCGGGCTCCCTGCGCCTCGCCGGGGCGAGAGGGGCCGGGGGAAGGAGGGAGGGAGGGAAAGGGGCGAGGGCGGCAGCCGCTGACGCCTCACGGCTCCCGGCGCCTCGGGGAGCGGGGCCGGGCGGCTGAGGGGAGCCCTGAGGGGAGCCCTGAGGGGAGCCCCGCGCCCTGTCAGGGGGCTCGCGCCCCGGCCGTTGGGGCCGTTACGGGGCGGGCCCGCGCGCCGCCGGCAGGGGGCGTGGCCTCCTCACAGAAGGCGTGGCCTGTGCCGTGGGGGCGTGGCCTCGGCGGAGGGGGCGTGGCTTGCCCAGCGCCTCCCCTGCGGCTGCGGGGGGCGCCGGCGGAGGCGGGCCTGTCCCTTTAAGAGCCCGGCCGCTACCACTGCGTAGGCGGCGGGGGGGGAAAGAGGGGGGGAAGCTGAGGGGAGGGGGGGGTCGGGTACGGCAGCGCCCGCCCCCTGTGTGGGGAGGGGCGGGGCGCGGGGCCGGGCGAGCCCACTGCCCGGCGCGGGGAGCGAGAGGCGGGCCCGCCGGCGGAGCGAGCCGGGGCCGGTACCACTGCCGGGGCGGGGCGCGGCGGGAGCGGGCCGGGAGCCGGGGGGGGGAGGGAGGCAGCGAGGCGAGGGGGGGGGGGGAACGGGCAGGGAGAGAGGGAGCGGGGGGGGTGCGGGGGGCGGTACCACGCGCGCGGCGGGCAGGGGGGGAGGCGCCGGCGGACAATGGAGCCTGTGTGCGTCTGCGGGCGGGGGAAGCAGCCGGCGGCGGCGGGGGCACCCGGCACAACGCCCCCGCCCGCCCGCCGCTGAGCCCGCCCGCGGCCCCCGGTGAGTGAGGGGAGGCGGCGCGCGGACCCCCCACCCCCCCAACCAACCGACCGCCCAACGGTCGCCCCCCCCCCCCCCCCCCTCCCCTCCAACCGTCCCCTCCTCAACCGCCGCCCGCCCAAAGTTTGAGCTGAGGGGGGCGCGGGCAGCGCCTGGCCTCGGCTGCCCCCAGGGGCCGCGCCGGGACAGGGGGGTGCCGGGCTCCCCCCCCCCCCCCCGGAGCCCCCGTGTGGACGCCAGGGCGAGGCCGAGGCTCGGGGGGCAGGGGGGCAGCGGGGGCAGACAAAGCCCGGCGCGGGACGCGGCGCTCGGGGGGTGCCGGGGCGTGAGGCGCCGAGCTGGGCTGGGGGCGTGATGCTGGCTTCGTAGGGAACAGCGAGGAGAGGCAGCGGGCAGGGAACAAAGTGGGGAACGAGCGGCAGCGCTGGGGAGCGCGGGGAGAGGTGCTAGACCTCGCCTCGCGTCCCGACTGGCCGAGGAGCAACCCAGAGCCTCGTCCTGCAGAGGAGCATCAGCACCGGCATGGAGAGCAGCGGCTTGCCCCGGGCTGGGGCAGCTCCTCGCCTCGGCGGCTCGGGGCAGAGGAGCACGGGAGGCTGTGCCCAGCCAGGCTCGTCTCGCTCAGCCCTGCTGCGGGTGACTGTCGCTCTCCTGTCAAAACAGAGTTGGAGGAAGCGGGGGAGACGGCTCTGCCAGTTCTGAGGGGTTCCAGGAACGGTTTTGTTTTCCTCGTAAGTATTTCGTCCTGGATTTCTCCGTGAAAAGCCCACACAGGCAGCACAGGAGCCGTGCGTGAAGCATCCTTAAATGTATCGAGCTTTAAAAAGGGGAAAAAAAAAAAAGCAAAGCATATTTTTTTCCCTGTTTTGTTGGAGGTTAATATTCAGTCAGCGATTGCTCAATGCATTACAAAAACAAGTATCGGGAAGCTAGGCAATGCACTACACGAAATCAAATAAAAAAATCCCAGGGAACAGAGGGAGAGAATTAACATACCTAAAGAGCTTTAGCCCTGTCTTTTGGTTTACCTCTCTCCCACTTCCCGCTAGGGCCATAAGGCCTGGTTGCTGCCCGTGGGGGTGTCACGGTGTGGGACTGGTGGAGCTGAGCAGGGCTGAGGGGCAGCAAGGGCTGGCAGGCAGTCGTGCCTTCACCCTGCGTGTTCCCATATCCCACTGCAGGCCCATTGGCCAGCTGCTGGAAAGCACGGGGGTTGCTTTGGTGTGATTCTGTAGCCATTTCGGACCGGTTGGGTGCTGGCTCTGGGCTTGGGTTGGGTTTGGTTTTTAACAGCGATCTCCAAACAGATTATTTTCAATGAATGTGGCCTTTTTTTCTTACTCGGAGCATAAAAATGGCTCAGGGGCTCGTATTCTTTCCTTGTCTCCCTTGCTGGCTCCTCCTCAAACAACAAAAGAAAGGCAGCTTTCTTTTTTAAGTTGGAGTTAGCAGCGATGACAGTTTTGGGATTTGGGAATTTTCCCAGTAAGGTGGGGTTTTTGGTGTTTGTTTGTTTTTTCCTTGGGGGGGGGTGGATTTTGTGGAGAAGGGGGTCTTGGGGTCTGCGGTCTCACTGCACTGTTGTGAACTCTTAACACCTTAATTGAAGGGGTGGAGATGCTGAAGCACTAACAAAGACCTCCTTTATCCAAAATGTTAATCAATCATTGACGTTAAATAAGTGTGAACAAAACCAACTAAAAAAAAAAAAAAAACGAAACAAGTTTTTGTCTAAGTCCCCCTCCCATTCAGTTGCTCGTCTTTGGTCAGGTTAACGTTGGGAATTCCTCTGGGGATGTATTTTGTGTGTACGTAGACGGACTTGGTTTTGGCAGCGTTTGGTAAAAGTTCTGTCGCTGACTTCCCAGGATACATTTTTTTTTTTTTCCCAGGGCAGATTGTTCAGTTCATAGACGCAATAAAGATGTTTTGAGAGAAACCGTGATCCGCTGCGGAGCGAGGGAAGTAGGGAGAATATGACAATACTGTTGCAACCATCTTCGTGTGGGGCAGGGGTGTGTGTAAAGGGGTTTTGTGGCTTTTTTTTATTTTATTTTTTTGTGTTTTCTGGGGAGGCGTCTTGCTTTCGGCTCTTGTGATCAGTTAATTTGTTTATCGGTCAACACAGTCTTCTAAGCTAGGCAAGACCTGAATTTCAATGTGGAAGAAAATAAATAGGTGTCTGTGCGTACAACCAGAAACTTTGTGGATGTCTTCTGTATATTATGGTTACAAAGAGCGCGGGCTCTTTCTTCCCCGCGCTTCCCTCGCTCTCTCCCTCCTTCCCCATCTTGCGTTTTCATCTTTGCAGTTTGTGCACTTGGATTGTTTTCAGTTAGGGTTAGGCCACAGCCAAAGAAACTGCATTTGTCACTGAACACCCAAATATAGAACGTAAGGCGACTATAAGCCACACGGCTAAAATCTTCATATGCAGCGGCTTTTGTGAACAGTTTATGTGTTCGAGGGGGATAAGAATGGACTAACCTTTGATCCGCATTTCCTGGCGATTCAAAGACTCGCTGCTCTGTAATATGTTGAATTTCCATCCCTATTTCTATAGGATTTTTTCTAGAGTTTGTTTTTTTTCCGCCTCTCGAGTTCCTGACACACCGTGTTGCCTTGCTAACTGTGCGTGCATCTTAGGAGTTTTGTTGGGCTTTAAAAATTCAGTGGAAGAAAAGAAAAACAAAACCTGACCCCCTTATCTCAGGGAGCAATTGACACTCAAGTGAGTATCGAAACTAATTCACATCCTAAATGTCAGCTGTGTTACCTGGCAGGGTTTGATCTCTCCCACTTTCTAGAAGTTTACCAGCATTTCTTCAGAGCAAGGCAGGCAGCCTTCGTAAAATCCTCCTATCTGGTTTGCATGGCCTTGGACTTCACAGAAATCTCCGAGCCTCAGTGAGGTCTGTGGTCTGTTTGCATAGATATCAAGTCCTTTAACCCAGCGAGATTTGCTGTGGGCTAGGATTTCCTGCTTACAAGCTCTGCTGGAGTCCCTCTGGTCTTCCTGCTGGCAAAACGAAGGTGTTAACTCAGGTTTTGAGAGCATTTTGTGAATGGAAGGAGATCTCACTGCTGATCTGTTGTCTGAGCACTGCTGTGCCTACCCCATGTGAAATGGCTTTCCCCATACCTGTTCTCCTCTGTCGGGTTTTTATGTCCCTGCTTTAATTCTCTTGGGGCTGGATCTCAGCTGTGGTAGGGACTGTGCAAGCACCGAACAGGCAGGGACTGTGCCTGTGATCAGGGCTTGCAGGTGATCTTGACAAACTTGGGCAAAAAAGCCATTCTGTAAGGAAATTTTGGAAGAGTTGCCTCTAAGACCGCGCCATCTTACAAGCCCTGGTTAACCGTAACAACAGCAAACCAGAAGGTGATGTTTTACTGCCTGCTCAGCCCCAATCTGCTGCTCCGATGTTGACTTCAAAATGAGCGTTGCTGGTGTTTTTGAAGAAACAGGGTTGCATTTGGTGGCTGTATCCTTAGCTGTAGGAGCTATGATGCCCGCGAGCCTTTCTCTGGTGGAGCTGGTTTTCGGGTGGTCCTCAGCGCGTCGTCCCCTCTTGGGCTCTGCAGCAGCCCTCCCTTTGTGCCGGTGCTGCTCTCGAGCAGCTGTGTGCTGCAATGGATCAAGGGGCTGAGCTGGGTTATAAGTAGCCTGGCAAAAGAAAAGGTTATATTTAGCCTGGATGGGTTTGCCAAACTCGTTCGCTGTTTGGCCACGCATGCGGTTGTACCGGCACATCAGACAGCGTGGTGCAGGGGTGGAAGTAAATATTGGTAGCAGCAGTCTCTTCAGCTGGCGTTGCTGCCAAGGGGAGTGCTCATCGAGCTGTACCTCTAAGAGTCTGCTAAACTTGCTAAATGTTTTTTACACCTATTTGTTACAGCTTCCCTTGCCTGAGAGCAGCTCCTTCAGTTTACCTTCTCCTTTTTGCCAACAGCGTTTCTCATCCCCGAACATGCGCGCGATGCACGAAAAGAGGAGCCCTCTTTAAGCAGCTTTATAGCGACTGCAAAAAGAGGAGCGTGCTTGTTGAGCTGTGGAAAAGTTTCTGCTTCTTCAGGACTGTCTGGTGATGCAGAACATGCAGTGTAAACTGATGGCAGAATATTTAGCGTGGTTGCAATTAAGCAGTGAAACTCATGCTGTGAGAATCATCAGGAGCTAGGATTCAACAAGAGTTAAAAAGGATCAGATGTCTGCAGGGATATGAAGAATATCCAATTATCCTAATCAGCGATAGTAGAAATTTTGGAAGGAGTATTAAGCCCGAGGTCTAAACCTTGATTTTATTGTGCTCTACCAGATGTGCTTCTGCGTTGGGGAAGGAGAGGGAGGGCGTAGCTTGTTTTGCCTGCGTCTTCTGCAAGGGTCTTGCATGAACTTGACTGGGACTGGAGTTTGAGATGTCCCCTTAAACTGCCTGGGCTTCTGCCTCGATCCTAGTGACCCGTCCTGAAACCCAGTCTGAAATCCTGAGCCTTGGCTGTGGTGCAAAGCGAGCTGCTGCTGCCTGAGTCCGTTTGTGGGTTTTGCTCCCGCTTCTGTGTGTTGTTACCTGCGCCTCGGTGGTTGGATCTCAGCGATCCGGTTTTGATCTACCTTGACAAGACTCGCTGAATTTATTTTAAAGGCAGTTACGAAATTGCAGTTTACTCTATCTGCAGAATGAGCGTTATCTCTTTGGGGTGGCTGAACACGCTCCAAGATCCCCCTTTTTTCAGGGAGACTTAAAAGCAGAGGTGAGCTTTTCCTTGTTTGCCCTCTGAGGAGGAGCTGGTGGAACGGGGAAGGGAGATGAAAAGTGGCACAGTATGGTGGGCTGTTTGTTTGTTTGCTTGTTTCTAAAGGCTTGGCAGAATCAATGAAATGCTTTTGAAGCAGGAGAATGGCAAGTATGCTTTACATGTGACATAATTTCTTCCAACAAAGCAGGGCTGAGAGGTGCTGGAGCGGTGTCCTCTGAGAGTTCACTGAAATTGGGTGCTGTAGCCTTGAAAACAATGCTGGTTTTAAGTGCTCCTCAGTGGTGCAATCTGTGGCAAAAAGAGCGCGTGACGTATGCAGTGGTTTAACCGCATCCAGGATCGGGGGAGAGCTCGCCTCTCTCGGTATTCAGGTCAGCGTGCTTGTGAGTCGGGCACCGAGAGCACTTGAGCAGTTCCTCTGGGCTGGGCATCTCCGTGTGCACCTTCTGAGCGGAGGGGGAGTGTGGGAACCTGCTCAACCCAGGCAGCTGGGGCCCACGGGATTTTCTCCAACCAGGTTAGTTGGATCTGGCGGCGAATTTGGGAAGAGAACCCGGATCTACGAGCAGCAGGCCCTTTTCCAGCTCACTCAGCTGGGCTCTGCGTTTTGCTAAACCGCCTTCCTCAGGTGCCGCGGCAGCGCTGCTCCTGCGCCTATGAAATGGCAGTGCTTTATCTCCGCACCGATCTGCTGCGCTGTTTGAGGATTGATTAGAAGCGTATTTGCAGTGTAATATAAGCTGTGGCTGTCAAAGCGGAGCGGCCACAGCTTCTGCAACTGGAGCTGTTGCAGCGGGGAGTTGAGGCCATCGTTGGTGCGTGCAGAGGAGCTCTTCTCGCGCTGGTGGGATTGAATTTTTCTGCAGCATTTTATGCGTATGGATGAGAAGGGAGCAAAGAACTTCAGGCCGAAACGGCTTGACAGCTTGTTAGTGAGGAAACACTCGCTGCTGTCTCAAAAAAAACACCC